GGCCAAGTTCAAGGCTAGGAGGCCTGGGTTCAATTCCTGGGAGGAAAAGCATTCCCCTTTCGAATAGGGCAAGCGTTTAGTTTCCCTCTTGGTGGATCTGTCTGCCGTCCAATGCCAGTTTGGGAATCCTGGCGTTTCCAGGCAAAAGGAGGAGGGGAGAGGAAGGGGACAATGGTCTCAAATTCAGCTCTTTAGAAAGATGGTGGAATTTCAGCAGACCTGCTTTTCTGCTGTTGCTCAGAGGTTCCCGAAGGCTTCCTGCCATCTGCTTTTGATGCTTCCAGAGCTGGCCAGTTTTCCTGCCTTTCCGGTAAAGGAGCAACCCTGGATCCGTTCCCTCTCATTGCTGACCCCTTCCTTGCACGCTCCCCGCCTCTCTGGTCACCTTGGTGGCCCCGAGCCTCGGAAGACCCCTCCTGGGACAGCTGGCGTTCCTTTAATGTCAGACAAATCCTGCCTTTTCCAATTGTATCCGTGCCCTTAAAGGAAGGGACGGACTTTGGCACGACATCCCATCTTCACACCCGCGTTCTCGGGAGACCAAGAGCGAGGGGGAGAGGGAGGAGGCCGCGCTCCTGGACGCTCCACAGCCACCCCTTTGCAAAATGGGATTTGGACAATGGGCCACTTAATTGTCGCTGGTGCTGTCAATCAAAGTTTAGAGCAACAGAAGGAAACGAAGGCGAGTTCAAAGCAGAGACGGGGAAAAGAAAAAAAATTCCAAGGCGTCTCTCCCTGGGTGGATCGGTCACGATTCCTGTGTTTTGGGAAAGGGCGTGCTGATCTGACTCATCAGCACTCCAGGAGCTTGGGCTGGTGGCACCCAGAGGCATTTTGATCACCTCGTGTGGAGGGCCTGGGGTAGAAGGTACGGCCCGGGTCCCACCTACGGGCAGACTTTGTCTTCTAGCGGTGTCAGAGGACCTCTCCCACCCACCCCGTCAACGCCGTGGCCTACGTCGCAGCAGACTCTTGCTACGGTCCAACCTGCCTTAGAGAGCCACGGCTTCAGAAGGCTGATCGGCCAGTCCCTTATTCCTCCCCACTCCCTTTCCGTGTCGAGGGCGCCGAGACGTGGGGCGGTCTGGCCCAGCCTTCCCCAGGGTGCGTGAGGTGTCAGAGAATCGGGGCCTACCTGCGTTTCTCAGGAAGCGGTGCCGGTAATCAACCACCACTCTGGTCTGCGGGTTGTAGAAGCCGTCGCCACAGTCGTAGCAGCCGGGCGGGATAGGCCGAGCGGGATCCAGGTTGGTCAGCTGGGAAATGCCTTGAAAAGCAGTCCCAGAGCAAGAAGGGTGTGAAAAAAAGAGTAAAGCAACGCTCTGAAGACAGCCCAGCCTTTGGGGCAGGAACACCCAGCGTCCCCGAAACCCTGCTCTTGGGTTTCGGGGCCTCCCGATCAGAGGGGAGAGCGCCTGCCCACCTCCCCACAAGGGGAAGCCCCAGCAATTTCACCATCGGAGGGAACCCGGTCGGTACCTGCTGGCTTCAGGCCCTTGCAGATTTCCGTGTAAAACCTCCGGTCATAGCCGTCGCAGTAGTGCCAGTTATGGTCTTTGTACTCCAAGCCATCTGCGAAGGTGTATTTCCCCTGCAAGGGTCGGGCAGAGCAAGGCCCTCCAGTTCAGCTCCCGTTTCGCTGGCTGCCTCGCCCTGTAAGAAGCGAACCTGCGCGGACCGTGGGCGTGGGGTTGCCCCTTCCCGCGCTTGGGAACCTTGGGAGCGAGCCCGCTTGCCAGGCCCTCGCGGGTGACAAGACGCGAGAGTCGGGTGGGGAATGACCGACGGGGCGGGCGGGGGGAGCCGGACCCCCAAAGGAAAAGGGCAGAAGCGCCGTTCCTGACGGGATGGACGTCCCTGGGACATTTAGGTCCTCAAGGACCGCGGCCCCAAAAGATGCGAGGGGGTCGACTATCGTGCC